TTTTTTTATATATATATATATATATATATATATATATATATATATTGAATCCCTTTAGCTTGTTCAGTGTGTTTATTTTCTTCTGTTTTCCCTCTTTCGCATTTTGACAAATTAATTTATGGGCCGGCATGCAGGCGAATGCTGCTTCTGGGATGGCTGTGCATGATGACTGTAAGCTGAAGTTTTTGGAATTAAAATCAAAGAGAAATTACAGATACATCATTTTCAAAATTGAGTCTCAACAAGTGGTGGTGGAGAAGCTTGGGGGCACTGAAGAAAGCTATGAAGATTTCACTAACTCTCTACCTGCAGATGAATGCCGCTATACTGTCTTTGATTTTGACTTCATAACAACTGAAAATTGCCAGAAAAGCAAGATTTTCTTTATCGCTTGGTAATACAATTTTTCAACTTAATTGTTTTTCTTCTTATTTCCTATTTAATTTATTATATTTTCTATACCTTTCTCTTCAATCTTTATGATCTTTATAATAAATTATAGTGATTACCAGTGTGTGTTAGCCCCTTTCTGATATACTGTCATGGATTTTAGGTTTCCTGATACATCAAAGGTGAGGATGAAGATGGTATACGCGAGCTCAAAGGATAGATTCAAGAGAGAACTAGATGTAATTCAAGTTGAACTGCAAGCAACGGATCCTAGCAAAATGAGCCTTGAAATTATAGAGTCGCGAGCACTTTGAATCTCATCATATATACGCACCCATCTGTAGCCTCCCCTTATTAATTTCCCCTTAAGACTCAGATTGACTATCTCCTCCTCAGGAGATGCGACAGAAGGTTGTGCGAGGACTGCAAGGTTATCCCAGGTGAGACCCTCTCAACGCAGCATAGGCTTTTGGTGATGGACATTTGTATTAGGATAAGGAGGAAGAAAAGGTCAGTACAAGGACGCCCTAGGATTAGGTGGGGCGCCTTAACTAAGGATAAAGCTAAGGAGTTGGAAGGAAGGTTATCGGCCATGGGAGCTTGGAGAAGTAGTGGGGACGCAAACACAATGTGGTCGACGACGGCGAACTATATAAGAAAGGCGGCGAGAGAGGTGTTAGGGATATCTACGGGCCACAATGGTGGCCACAAAGGAGATTGGTGGTGGAATGCAGTTGTCCAAGGTAAAGTGGAAGCAAAGAAGGCGGCTTACCTACGGTTAGTAGGGAGCACTGACGAGGAGGAGAAGAGAGAGAACAGTCAAAGGTATAAGGTAGCTAGGAAGGAGGCGAAGATGGCAGTGACGGAGGCTAAGACGACAACTTTTGCTCGTCTGTATGAGGAACTAAGGAACAAAGGTGGGGAGAAGAAGTTATTCCGACTCGCTAAGGCGAGAGAGAGTACAACTTGGGATCTGGACCAAGTGAGGTGCATAAAAGATGATGACGGCAAAGTTTTGATGGGAGATGACCAGATTAAGAGGAGGTGGCAGACCTACTTTTATAAACTTCTAAGTGAAGAAGGGGATCAGGATATTATACTTGGGGAATTGAGGAATGCCGACAGTCACCATGCATTAAGTAATTGTAGGGACAGTGAGATCGATGAAGTAATTGAGGCAATGCGTAAGATGAGAAGGGGCAGAGCTACCGGGCCAGACAAAATTCCGGTTGAACTGTGGAGATGTNAGCAGGCTTGGAATGGCTTACTGCATTGTTTAGTGTTATATTCAAGACTAATAGGATGCCTGAAGAGTGGAGGTGAAGTACAATGGTCCCGTTGTATAAGAACAAAGGTGATGTCCAAAGCTGTAACAACTATAGAGGCATCAAATTACTAAGTCATACCATGAAAGTTTGGGGGAGAGTGATAGAAATGAGAGTGCGAAGGACGGTGTCTATTTCAGACAACTAGTTCGGTTCATGCCGGGGCGATCTACCACAGAAGCTATCCACCTTATTAGGAGGATGGTGGAACAAT